GCTTGGAGGTCAAGGCCAGCCTGAACTGATAGTGAAACCCTGTCTCAAAAAGATAAACTGTATTACAGATAAAAGAGTAGGCTTTCAGATATGCAAAGAGCTCCTAAAAAAATGAACATCCAACAGTCCAACAGAGAAATGGTCGTAGGACATGAGTCAACAGTAGTTCATAGAAAAACACAGCAGCCGGCAAGATAACTCAGCGGTCTAAAGGCAAAGTGCAGGGACTGCAGTTCCAGCCGCAGCACCATCTGCCACATCAACCCTGCCCACAGGGTGGGCTGAGCCAACCACAAAAAGAAAAGAAAAACACAAATGGTTAATTATGGGCTGAGAATATAGTTCAGAAGGCTTAAGTGCCTGCCTGGCAAATACCAGTCCTGAGTTTGATCCCCAGTAACACACACACACACAAAAGGACAAATGATTAATTATATTAAAATGCTTTATCTTTTTCATAATATAAAGTAAAACTGCACTTAAAATAACATTTTTTTTCCTCTCAAACTGGCAGAAGTTCAGACATTTACAACATGCTATGTTATAAAAGCACCAAGGGCTATATATTTTTTATATTGATTTTATTGAGAAATAGCAATGAGACAGTTTCAAAACCAATTAGTAGGACATTTTCAGTAATTAATACATATTGTTGTCTTCATAGTGGTTATTCATAGTACAAGATACAGACATGATATCTTGTCCAAACACTATTAGTACAAATCTTGCTTCTCATTGAATGAAGAGAAAGTAGCTATACATCTATCCTATTTTGTATATACAGATACAAAATGGTCCTTCATTTATATCCCCTTTTTTTGTTTAGTTTTGTCAGAGATGGGTATTCCATTGCCATTTAAATATTGCAGGTTTGTGAATTCAGCAAAATAATCCAATATAGTCCAGTAGTCCATACTAGTAATGGGTTATCCATAGGACTGGCAATGTCAGAAGTTGTTGACTCGAGCCTTTTACAGCTCAGCATATTAATACGACTTTACTTTTTATAACTCATTTTTATACTTTTCTGCTGTATGGTTAAAACCAAGATAAAGCAAGACCTATATAACAAGAAATGTAACTTTTGTATCTGCCAAGGTCAGTCAAATCCCCTCAGGATTTATCCTGAAACCCTATACCGCAGTTTGTAAATCCTTTCAGTGTCAGCCATGTAGATGAGTCATGGCCATTGCTTGACCAATTTGCTCTCTGTGAAATCCTGAGAGAATGTTTTCTCTCTATGTGACTCCCCTTAGGCACACTCTACATCATCGATCACTTTCCTCTGTGGTCCCATGTCTTAGTTGCTGGGACAGATACCCAACACCCATAATGAAGGAAGGAAAGGTTTATTTAGCTCACAGTTACTGGAGGTTTCAGTCCATACTCAGCTGGGTCCAAGGCAGCCTAGCGCATGGCAGAGAGCAACTTTTCATGGTGGTGGCAAAGAGCAAGAGTGCAAAAAGGAGGGGTAGCAGCAGCTCACTTCTCTTTCCTCCTTACATTGTAATGCAATTACCTGTCCCTGGGCAGGTGCAGCATCCACACCCACAATAATCACAAACTCCAGAAGCTGCCCCAAGACTGCATGAGGTTTTGGGAGGACAACTATACACAAACCATAACACCCCATAATCTCCCTGATCAGAAAATTTGGGGCATCACTGAGTCACGGGATGTTATAGTATGGGTGGTTGTATGTCCTGAGTCCTCACTGACCTTGAAAGGCTAGGGCCAAAATGTTGGCTGTCGTTGCTGAAAGGCTATACATTTCAAAACTACTAGTGCCTTTATCTTTGTTCTAGCAGTCTGCCTTGTAGAAATCCATACTACAGTTTTACCTTCCTATCTAGGAAATAGAAGTTTGTGCATTGCAGTATCACTTGTAATTATAAACAATGGTTTGGCTGAAGAGTCCAGGTACACGTAGGAGACTGGCTAAATCAACACCAGCCTGCAGGAATATCACAAGCACTGGATAAAGAGCAAAGAAGTGCATGTGAGCAGACATGGTACCTTCTCCAGCATGCATGCACTTTTCAGCCAAGAAAAGGAAGGTCACACATAACAGATTATCATATTGTACCTCATAAATATGTATAATTATTATGTATTGATTAAAAATTTTAGAGAAAGCACAGAACCACCAGACATAGTAGGTATTTTTGTTTAAGAAAAGGATGGCTGGGTGTATATACTCATACTTACGTTTCTGTAAAGAAAAACCATCAGAGGAATAAGTAAGAAACTAATTCTAAAAACATACAACAGCAGAGAGGGAGAGAGCAAATTGAAAAATAAGCATCTGTGTTGTTGTTAATGTCTTGCCTCATGTGGAAAGTTACGCTCAGGGTTTCAGGCACAAGGAGAGGCATGTGTCTTCAACTTCCTAGTAGGTAAGCTGCTGAATGTGAGGAGCAAGTGAGCTCTTGTGACTCATAAACAGAATCCTTGCTTGAGTATTATGTTTCTAGGTACTACTTGTGTTAAAGAGCTGGGTATATAAACACCCCCTGTGTCCTCCATCTGTCTTCATGGTGGCTCCTTGGCAGTATCCTACTGCAATGCTAATCACCCACCAAGGGTTCGCTCTCAGGCACTGATACTTTCTTACCATTTGTGTGCTGCGGTGAGCCTCTCTGACTCACAGACCTGACCCTGCAGAAGGGGTGGGGGGCAGGCTTCCTCCTGCTCTGTTCTCATGGATCTGTTTGTAAACAGCATCAATAGTTGCTGCAAACACAAATCATATGCTTACATCTTTCTTTTTCCCCTCATCTTCATTTTCCGTATTTTAAGTGTGTGATATCCTGATACACGATGTTCAGAGTGGTTTTCAATGTGATAGGGGAGGGGCAACCAAGTAAACCATTTCATTTTCCTGCTTTTCTCTCTCTTCCATCCCCTTCTTTTTGCTCTGGCCTTGATATGTCACATCTGTGCTTGATCTGGGACAAGCAGCAAGCACAACACAGTAAAGCCTCTGGGAAGCCTCTGCTTTGACAGATTTTTGGCTGCCAACACCTGGCTTTTGTCAGAGCCCCCAGGTCTCTTCTCCACTGAGCCTGTGTTTTTCCCAAGTGTGTCACCTGTTGATGGCTTTCATACCCTTGTATTTTGAAGTCTTGCTTTCCGTTCAGTATAATGAAGCCCCTTGCCTAAGCCATTCATGACTGGGGAGAGTGCATGGCATGGGGTGGGGACTTGCAGGAGAGGCCGGAGCTCCTGGGGGGTAAAAATATGAGTGTTATAAACCAAGAAACAATGATACCTGCTGAGCACTGAGAATGGAGGTAGGCTATGAAGAGGTGCGATTACCACTTAATTAAAACAGATCTTTTAATAGATAACTAATAATTGCCAGACTCCTGATTTAACAGCATAATAATAAAGTTATCACTTTAGATAGTCTGACTTAGGAGACTCAGATTCAGTATTAGTAGAGTATGAATTAATGACACTTTACTATTTGACAAGACAGGTCTAAGAATCTTTCTTTGAATGTGTGGGCTTTGATTTGACTTGTCAGAACATCTGGTTTGAAAACAAAGAAAGGTGACTTTATTCCCAGAAGGAACTCCCACTGCTGTTTCACTATCCACTCTGCTGGCCCTAGGGGATGAGTCTTTATTGGGAAGAATGGTCTATGCTGTTAGTTTGTCAACAGCCTCAACTAAGGCAAGGAACCTCTGAAGTGCGCTTCTTTAAAACTGGCAGGCTTCATTGCCAGTTAAACAGAAGACCCAATGCTATTATGGGCTACTGGACTCTTTTAGAATATTTTGCTGAGTTTACACAGCTATAATATTCAGTAATGGAACTTAGGAAAAATGGGGTACACCGATGAATGTCCATTCTGTATCTGTGTATTCAAAGTGGTTGGGGTAGAT